CGTGGCTTAGTGGTTAAGTGTGCGCGCTCCGCTGCTGGCGGCCCAGGTTCGGATCCCGGGCGCGCACCGACGCACCGCGTCTCCGGCCATGCTGAGGCCACGTCCCACATACAGCAACTAGAAGGATGTGCAGCTATGACATACAACTATCTACTGGGGCTTTGGGGGGAAAAAGTAAATAAATAAATAAAAATTATTAAAAAAAAAATACTTGTAGAGTGTTTTGCATAGTACCTGGCAGAGAGCAACTGCATTGTAAATGGTAACTATTATTACTGTTTAGGCATAAGTTGGCAGTAAGTAGTTTTTCCAGATTAGAAACACAACTAGAAAATAGCAGACCTGGGATTCAAAACTAGGTAATCTAACTCCAGAGCCAGTCGAGTTCAGTCTAGCACTTGCCCTGCACCAAGCTCTGTTCTTGGCACATAGCTTTCAATAAATGGTAGCTGTTACTTCTTTATTTTTTCATGTTCTCCATAGGTATGGCCCACATAAAAACTGTATTATCCTGGAAAGCCTGGCACTACATTTTCTGCCAAGATAACAGTCTCTTATGCGAATTTTGGTTCAGATAATATCCTGGTCTGGGGCGTCAGAGGGTCCAGGTTTTACAGCCACGTGGGCACTGTGTGGGAGCGGGGAGGCCTGCGCCGCTCCAGCCGCTAGGGGGCGCCGTTCCCTGTTGAGGCCGCGGAGAGTTGCACCGCCCGCTCACCACCCCCCCACGTGAATCCGAATGGTTAGGCCCGCCGGGCAGGTAGCGCGTTTCCGCGGCTTCCCTCCACCCCTGTCCCTTCCCCCATTGGTAGGGGCTGCGGGTCCGGGCGGAAGTGGGGCACGCGGGCGGGAGCTAGGCGTCGTCGTTGTATATTCATGAGGCGCGCGCAGCCGGCATGCTAATAAGGCGGGGCGCGGCGGCGGGCTAAGGAGCTGCTGGGCGGCGGCAGCGGCAGCTTGCTCAGAGCTGCCGGGCGGGAGCGGCGTAGGCGCAGGGGCACTCTCCAGCGCGAACCTGGACATGGAGCCGCAGGGCGGGGGCCTGGGGCCCGGCCGCGGGTCCCGGGACAAGAAGAAGGGCCGGAGCCCGGACGAGCTGCCTTCGGCGGGCGGCGACGGCGGCAAATCCAAGAAATTTGTGAGTGTCCCTCCCGCCCGGCTCCCTCAGCCTGGCCCCGTAACCGCCCACTGGACCCCGGAGATCCCCGCAGCCGGCCCCAGGGGTGCACGCCGGTCTCTAGGGAGCCGCCTCCGCGCCTCCCTTCCTGGTTTTGCTCGGTCCTGGGCTCCGCAGCCCAACATCCTAACCCCCCGGGACCTCAGGGAGCCCCGGAGTCCCACCCGGCTCTTGCCCCGGCAACCTCGGGGCTTCCTTCGTCCCCTAGCCCGCACGCTCTGCCCTCCGCCCCCATAGCCCCGGCCGGTCTCAGCCCCATCTCTTCCCTCTCAGCCCCACTTCCTTTCTTCTTCCTCTATTGCCCGAGGTATCACTATCTTGGTCCTCTGTGCTTTTCCGGGTCCGTTTTCGCTTATTACCCTTCCCCCCTTTTTGGTATGCTCTTCTTTGCCTCTCCAAAGGTCACTTCCTTCTCTGAGATTGATCCCTTTCACCTGCTAACTTTCCTCCCCCCCGAGTCCCACCTCTGGGCCCTCAGCCCGGTGTCACCTGATAATTCTTCCCCTCAGGAATGTTACGTGACTTGAGCCCTACCTGCCCTCCTCCCTTGGACGTGTCCTGACGATTGCAGGAATGGGTTGCTGCCCAGGTGCTGTGGTCACTGGGCATGACGTGAATTTGCTTCCCAGTAGTTCTCTATCCAGAGAACCTGTCTCTTTGCCCTGTTGCTTATCACTTTTCAGGGAGGTACAGCTTCTCTCATGCTCGTGCCCTTCTTGAGCTAGGATGGTGATAAACCTCCCCCGTGGGGAGGAAGTTAGACGGCAAGTCCAAGAAGTTTGTGGGTAACTGAGTTGCTTTTTATACATTTCCCATGATAACCATCCTCTACTCTTCTGCCACCTCTTGTGCCCCAAGGCTACTGAGATCCCTTTTCCCACCTGTAGAAGAGTGTTGCTTTCCTCAGGTGCCAGTTACTTCCAATCCGAGTCTGAAGGAATACTGATATTCATGTAACACTGTCATTTTTCTTTACCTTTGCCCACACTAAATGCTCTTTTTTACTCCTTTCTCCAAGGAGCTGTTTGCTGCTTACGGTAAATGCTTTGAAAGATATGGGGCACTATCCAAGAGAGGGAGAGTCTTGTATCTTAATAATCATTTGCTAGTTGTACCTGTAGTTACTTAGTCTTCTCTTCCAGGTAGTCACACCCCTAAGCCAGTATCTCTTTTTTTTTTTTTTTTAAAGATTTTATTTATTCATTTTTTTCCCCCCAAAGCCCCAGCAGATAGTTGTATGTCATAGGTTCACATCCTTCCAGTTGCTGTACGTGGGACTCGGCCTCGCGCTGGACGGAGAAGTGGTGCCTTGGGGCGCGCCCGGGATCCGAACCCGGACCGCCAGCATCAGAGCGCGCGCACTCAACCGCTAAGCCACAGAGCCGGCCCCGCCAGTATCTCTTTTTACTAACCAAATGGCTTCTCTTTCCTCTGTCTTTCTCTTATCCCCACTTCTTAGCGTTCTGACCCAACTTAAGTTTGAGAAGAAAACTGATAAAGTGATGGAAACAGGAAGAAAGTGTTGCTTTGGGACCTAGAGGGTTGAAGCGTGGAGGGGACTAAACAGAATTAAAATAGTGACTCATCTCTTCCTATTTCTAGCAAGGCAGGTGCTTCTAGACTGTCCTTTCCAGTGACTTACAGGCTGTTAGTAACTGCCTGTTTTTATCTGGCCAACACCTTTTTTTCCAGAAATGTAAATAGTAGTGGTGACCCTCCCCATATGGTGACTAAAGCAACATTTCCTCGTTTCTTTAGGATAAGACTCAACCCTCTAGTTAGAGAGCTTTCCTCCTAAGACTTAAGTTCTAGGGCCCCTATTCTATTTCTGTATCTTTTTGTTTTGCTTTTGTTTCCATGGGTACTGTTTGACCTTCCTCACCCGAATTCCAGCTACTCCTGCTGATTTATAGTGACCTCTGTGACTTGTAAATGTTTTTCAAGTACTTGATAGAATTTTATGTGTGCTTTTTTTTTGATCTAACACTTGTGTGTTTCACAAATTTGTGAAATCTACTAAGTATGTGGTGCTGAAACACCTCAGATACCTGAGGAAGCTGAACTTCTTTTCACCTGTTTTTTGGAATGTCCATGGAGTCTTGTATATGCTGAGTGGATTTGGCTCAGAGCTGTTGGTATTTGCTTTGGAAGAAGGTGGAGCTGAACCAAGTTCTCTTTTTCTTAGGTGTTGGTCTTAACTCTTAACCTGCTGAATTTTAAAATGTATGTAACATTGCACTGAGGAGAATTGGACTGATAGCTAGGGGATTGGAAAGTTTCTAGGAAAGTAGTGCTTCTTACCCCCTTTATTGCCAACTATAACGTACCTCAAGGCATCAAAATATTGTCTTTCTCATTGCTCTTTTTATGAGAACTCAGTGGAAATGAGAGACTAGGAGGAGCGTTGCAATCCACTTCTCTTTGTGGCTGTGTATGTATATGTGGGTGGGTGGAGTGGGTGAGATGGCTGGTGTGCTTTTGTTACCCATGGCTTAGTTTTCTTGAACTACAGGCTAAAAGTGAACTCAAAGCTGTTTCGCCTACTCCACCTTTTCTAGAGTGTGTCCTCTGGAACTCCGTTAAGAATGTACTTTATGAAACTGCACTGGTTTGTGACTTAGTGTGTGCGAAGGTTATTTGTTTGCATCTGAGGGGTTACTAATCTCTTTAGCTGCTGCGTACCTTTCCAGGCTTATGCAGGTTCTAAATACAGATCAGCTGATGAGAACAGAGCTCACAAATTGCCTAAGATCTATTACCTCCTGAGGCATTTGTGTGGAAAGGACATGGAGTCTGAGCTTAAAAAGTGGTTGGGAATCATCTTTTAAAAACACGTGGTGGTTAGAGTTCTGACGTTTGTGGCTGAAGCCAGGCTACTTGGTATTCCCCCTTGGTTCTTCCCCCTTGGTTCTTCATAAGTCTGTCTTCTCCTGGGCCATGAGCATGTTTATCCCTTCTCTGGCATTATTCTAGTTCCTTTCAGAAGTCCTTAAGATGAAGGAAAATAAAAATTCTGAATGAATAGAGTGTTTTCTGACTTTTCAGCAGTGATGAATGTGGGTGTCAAATAGACTGATTTCTGAAATGTGTGTAAGGGGAGTGAGTATAACCAGGATGTTAGGAGACTGCAGAGTGTTCCTACATTTTACAGACTGCCTGTCTTCTCATACAATCAGGAAGCTGATACATTCTAAGAAAGAATGTTGCTGCCTGATTCAGCTAGGAGCATAATTTTGTAAAACATGAATTTTAGTGTAGGGTTAGAGAGAATAGATATATAATTTTTTAAATCTTGTTTAATTTTGGATGCCTGTGTTGAATTATTACCATGTTGCAGTTTCATGCCCTTCTAAAAGCAAATTGATAGTGGAAGTGTAAATGTTTAGTTCTGTCCACAATGACAGCAAAGGTGAAGGATGCCAAGCAGAATTTTAAACAGATATTAGGAAAGGTAGAGAATATGAAAGAAGTGGAGTTGTTCGTGCAGATATCTGCTTCTCTCCTCTTAAAGAAGACATTAACTTTGATCCAAAAGGTTGCAGAAAACCAAGGAGTATACAGAGAGCTTTATGCAAGTCACATGGGTTTTTTTGAAAGATGATAAACACAGGGATTACTTATTTTGGAAAGAGGGAGGGGAGCCTACAGGAATGTTATTTAGATGTTTGAGATGACAGAATGATACCTTAAAAATTTCTGCCCTTCTTCCTGCCTTGTCTTTAAAGAGGCAGACCAAGGATCCACTTGATAATGTTACTTTTACTTGTGTCAAGGGAAATCCTTCCTCACAGGAGGTGAAACTGAGGGAATGCCTCTGAATTAAAATCTCTGCCTTGGGAGAGTTGGTAAATGTTAGGATCCTTTTATAAAAAGAGCTGTAAATTTTATGACCTGTAAATTATGTTTATTATAAAAGCTAAGAAAATAGTTGTAAGTGAAGTGAGAAGTGATTTAACTTTGTTGATGGGCATAGGGGTCAGAATAGGCTAATTTTATTTCCTGTGTGATAGAATAACCTTTGATATCCCCTGGGGCCCTCAGTGTATTTTATAAATGGATTCCAACGTTATTCTTGGAGAGTGGTATATTTTCAGTGAAACGTAATAGAGGCTTAAAAGATAAAGTTATGCCACATATGATTTAGAACAGGTTAAAATCATGTTTATTAATAAGAAATACTAGGTATTATAGAGAAACAAAGGGTTTGTATATGCACGTGGTGTTTTCTCCCATTTTATAGCTCAGTTAGCTGAAATGATTTATGACTACGAAAAGTATCCCCATTTTGAAGCAAACTGTGTTACTTAAGAGTTTTTCTTTGTTGTGTTGAGCCTCCTATTCTCAATCCTTTTGTTTGAAAGCAGTAGGAAAAAATTCACCTCTTGCTACCTAGCAAAGCAGCATGGGGTGTTTGCCCCTAGTTAGGGTTAGGTGAGACAAAGCCAGCCCTCTCCCCTTGCAGACAAAGCTGCCTATCATCCCCTCCCTCTTTGTTTGCATTCCCTCCCTGCTTCTTATAGGGGCTCGTTGGAGTCCCATGGACAGCCAGGCCTTTGGGGAATCAGGAGTGGTAAAAGCTGTTGATAACTAAGATTTCTTAAAACCTTGAAGCTAAAATTGACAACAAGTAAAGAATATTTTAATCACTATGAACATATTTTACTTTATTTTCTACGTTTTTTTTTTTTTACAAACAGTTTTTAGAATCAGGAAACTCTTTTTAAGAAAATAAAAGAGTTACTGAAGGAAAAGAGAAATATGAGACCAGTATTTTAATGAATTTTACCACCAATTACAGGATAACTCTGGGTGAATCATTGTTCTTTCAACTTTGAGATTCTTACTTCCATTCATTATTAAAGCTTGCTATGAATGGTAGCCTTAAAATTTTAGAGTTGGAAGGACTCTAAATGTCATCAAGCCCAAACACCCACTCAGTGCAGCAATCTCTTCTTACAGTT